CGTGCTGCCAGCGCGCCCATGTGGGCGGGCTGCACCCGTTGGGCACCCAACTCGCGTGCCTTCCGTTCCTTCGAGCCACCTGGTTCCTTAGCCATCCCCACCAGGTTCTAACCCTTCTATAATCATCCCAAAACCTCTGATAGCACTTCCTTTTGGGACGTGGTCTCGCCCGTGCACGTCTACGCCAATGCGCGTATTCGCGCCCTTCCTTGAGCTCGATTATTGCCCGTGTCGGGACCATTTTCTTGCACTCTCGTGCGCATGTTACCACTTGCACGTTCGCCTGCTCACGGCCATCCCATGTGCGTGCTGTCCACCCAACATCCACCCCTCGCGCACCGCTCGTGTCCTCTGCAATGTAAATGCCCAAGGCCTTAGCCTCCAAGTGTCGTGCGTGCCGCTCCCTCGCGCACGCCTTGTACCAGTCGACCGCGTTACCCGAGCCTGCTATCGTACATTTGACCCCGGTCCATTGTGCATAGTCTTTCCTCCATTGCCCTAATGTTACACGCCGATGGACTACCTTCTCGCGTGCCCTTGCACACATCCATGCGCTCGACCCTTCAAGCCTTGATCTCCTGAGCCTCTTGCTCGACCTCCTACGCCATTGTGCATGTCGGCACCCTCGTATACGGGCTCGTGCACGTTTCCTCGTGCACCAGTCAGCCCAGTCAGCCCTCGGCGATGCTCAGTAGTCCTCGGCGTTGCCCGGCAGCACGCCCGAGCACCCAGTCAGCCCAGCACGCGCAGGCCGCGTGCCAGTCACCTACCTATGGCGCACAGCAGAGCCCTGTAGTACTTGTACGTGCCAATACCGTTACCAGCGTACACGATAGTGGCCAGTCATGTTCAGTAAGTGTCCAGTAATCGCTAGCCGTGCACAGCAGCACGCCAGTGACCGTTGATGACGGATCGATCTTTTGTCTATACTGGGTTGCGAATAAACGGCGCACTCAGGGCCTTCGTTTATTCCCGATAGGTGTATCTAGCAGACGCACTCAGGGCCTTCTCCTAGACACTGTGACTTCGAGACGCTCTCAGGGCCTTCTCTCCGACACTGTATGTAAAGACGCACTAATGGCCTTCTTTATCACACGTTAAGAACACAAGGTTCCCCCTCAAAATTGGCTCACCAATTCAATACTCAATTCAAGACATAAAATAATGATGGGGTACATGGGGTATTTATAGGTGTAAAATAAATCTAGGCCTAAATCTAATAGATCTCCTTAATCATGCAAGAATAGAAATCCTAAGTCTAGAAAGCAATAAAATCCTAAACCTACCAAAATACTAATGCTTGGATTGCACACCAAGCAAATCTAGAAGCTCCCTAATTAATCACATGCTAAAACTCTCAGCGCCCCTTATACGCACGCCGCCTCACGGCTCGCGTTCCCGCGCACGTGCGCGCTGTTGCGCGCCTCTCTCGCGCCGCCTTCCTTTTTGCGCGTGTACGCCCGCGCCCTTCATGCCTACGCCTGTTAGGACTGGGCTGTCTGCGCTTGCCCCGTACTCGTGCGCTGTCGCGCGCTCATC